TTTGTTTTCCTCTCTAGATTGCTTCTAGAACTGCTGGAACTGCTGTTTGACAAGTTTAACGCTGTTGCCAGTGCGCACTCTGTGGTCCTGGGATACCTACAGGACACCGTGGTGACTCCCCAGACCCAGCAGGAAGATGTCAAGCTGTATGACATGGCAGATGTGTGGGTGAAGATCCAAGATGTTCTGCAGGTAGGTGTTTTACCAAAGACTGCCATCTTGATTCATACACACAATAACACCAATTTTTTTCAGCCATCAAAATACTCCTTTAATCATAAACAGTGAGAAATTAACGTAGCTGTTGCAAGGTGATGCTGTTGACATCATGAACTTCTGTCATCTTCAAAACACCTTTTAACCAACTTTCCTTTTGTCAAGCTTTAAAAATTACGAGCAGTAATTTTAAGCAGGTAGCAATTGAGCTTGTACAGCCCCACTTTTTGATAATGTGTTTTACGTCATTGGGATTAATCTTATATTAAGGTTATCAGTATTAAAATGTTTTTAAACACTATTTAATGCATGCTTGTAGTCTAATTTCCGAACCATTTCCCTTCAGCCAACTCTTGCATATATTGGGGTAAATGAAAGGTCAAGAGCTTATTTTGAGAAATGAAAAAAAAAAAAGTCTTTAAGACTTAATATGTGTCACTTTGATTTGTTGAGGATCAGAGGGATGATATTACCATTTGGTATGATGCTGCAGAGATGATGTTTAGAGATTTTATTATATTTCTCTCCATGCGCTGGGAAAATATATTTGATTTGGTCAGATTAAAATTAGAAATACGAATAGGAGAGTGGAAACAAGTTTGGCTTAGTTAAATAGAAATGAGTTAGTTAGACAGTATGTACTAATGAAAAAATTAAGCATATGTAGGGAATTGAAAAATATAACTGTAGAATGAAATTTCTTTCATGGCAATAGGAGTCTTTGCAGGAAAAATAAATCATGAATGTAAATTACAGTCATTTTTGAAAGTATAGGCATGTTCCTTCCTGGTGGATTGAATGATTGAATATTTCATAGGCATTTTTTTTTTTGTGCTTTATTGATGGCTCATTAGAAAGAACATAGGTTGTAACTCTGTCCCCTGAGTTTGTTTTGCCACCAAGTTAATGACCATGTGCCCATAGTAGGTACTTGATAAATATTTGTGTTTGAAAGCTTTCTTGGTGATGAACTGGCTAACACTTTCTCTATATATATATATCTTGGTTTCCTAATCTGTCATGGAACTAACGGGCCTTTCAGGTCACAAGTTTATTGGAAGGATGACCTAAGGTAGTAGATTTTAAAGTGCAAAAAAATAGTCTTTCTTAGGGGTTCTGGTTCTGGCCATGATACAGTTTACTGCTTGCTCTAAGCAGCTCCCAAACTGAATGGCAGTTGTCATAGTCAGTGAACAGAAGAGAGCACATGAAGTGGGCTCCAGATCTCCCAGTTTCCAAACTGTGGTGTAGGGACGTAGAACCTAAACAGTAGTGGGCTGTCTAAGCAGAGGAAACAGCTTAGAATTCAAAGGTGTGAAAGGGGCCAGAGTTTGTGTGGTAGGATAATTGGAGAGGAGAGATTTGCACAGGAGTCCCAGAAGAAAGAATAGAGAAGAATTCCCAGAAATCTGAAGCATGCTGTCGTCTCTGGTCAGACACGGAGCTGTGCACACCATGAGGTTTGACAGGAAGTGACTGCTGTGGGACTATAGCTGGACAGAGATTCTGGAAGAGCCCAGAGGCTCAGGAGTGTTGGAGTACAGACTAAACATTGTGGGGAGAACCTGCTGGACATCCTGGGCTTTCAGATATGAGTTGTGAAAGGTGTTAGGTTGAGGAATAGAGGACTCTAGCCACACAGGGTGGGTCATGGTAGGTCTTTGATAACAAAGCCCAAGCCACGTCTCTACAGTACAAGCCTGACCCTCCTGTAAGTTGACAGCTTATTGGAACAAAACTCACTCTAAAGCATGACACTATCTTGTGGATTATCAATGAGGAAGCATCTGCAATGACCAGCACACAATTATTGTGCTTGCAAATAGGGCAGAAAAATGGATGATGCATAACCAGGATTTTTAAAAGTTGACAAAAATTAACAGGTGAAATGAAAATTTCACCAGACAGAATTATTAGCAGTGAACATGTTGTTGATTATACAAATTTTGAAATAGTTTTCAGTTTCCTATATTTTCTAGTTCCCTCACTTTTTTTTCAGTTATAGGTCACTGAGTAGTAACAGGATATTCAGTCAAACATAAACAGGTATATGGTCACCCAGACATGCATGAACATGTGTTGCTCAATGTCGGAATGAGGTTGGCATAGTGTGGTATGTTATCTTGAGACATGTTGAAAGGTTTTCAAGGTTTGTGATGTGCTGGGTCCCTTGAGGATTTGGGCAAGTGGGGTGGGGGTATATTACAAGTTGGGTGTACATCAACTAGGTGCAATGACAGATGAGATGATGTTGGTGAGTGACACAACAAGAATGAATAGAAAAGGCTCTTAAGGGTAAGTAGAAAGGAGGCTAAGCTGTACCTGAAGGTCTGTTCTGGGGACTAGAAGCCAAGTTTGGGTCAGTTGATTTGGGTGCCACCTTCTGAAATGCTTTTAGCATTGTCTGAGGAGTTTGTGGTTTATCTTTCGACTAATGGTTTTTGAAACTGTGTAGATGTTAGGTTTCCTGCAGGATTCATCCCTAGCCCCTGCCCAGCCTTCTCAATGAGAACTGCTGTGGATAGGGATTCTGGCTGTAGCAAGATTTGGTGCTAGTCATAAAAAGGACTGAGTGGAGAGGCTGGAAATTAAGGCAGGGAAACTGCCTACTCCATTTAGGCACATGGAGTCTCTGGATTAGATCCTGTGTGGTTTTGTCCCACAGTGAGCTAGAGAAGGTGAGCTTTTATAGGGGGTTGTAAAGGAAAACAAAGAAGGGAGCAAAGGATTTATAAATCTTTCAGATGTCTTAGAAAGTCAAGGAACCACCTGTCATCCTGGCTTTCGATACGGCAGCTATTTTAATGATGGTTTCGGTTAAGTTATTGGGGCCAACCATGTACTATGTATTGGGGAATAAAGAGGAACAAAAGATAGAGTTCATTGGCCACTGCAGCAGTGTCCATTAAATGGTGTGTTCAAAGGCCTGTAGGAGCAAGCCCCTGGGGTGCCCTGGCAATGCAGTATTTGGTGTTTGCCCACTGGGAGCGCTTAGAAAAGATTTTTAAGTTTCCAAGCAGCACTTTATGGTCTAGAGCTACAGTTAACTTTTTACATACTCACTGGTGGAATGCCCTTTAGATTAAGTTCAACCCTGGAGTGTGAAAGAATTGAGCAGGACAAGAGGCACCCGCAGAGAAGCAGGGATGAGGGTGATGGGACCTCAGGTGGAATGGCGTGCCAGTGTTCAGAGTTCACACCTTCCTGTTCCTTTAATGCCAAAATGTTTCTTGCAGGAAAATGTAAATATCCATTTATTTATTAAATCTTGCAAATGAAAATAATGTTTACTCTTTGAAAGACTGTGGGGTTTCGGCTCTGAACCTGGCTCTCCCTCGCAGGCATACTCTGGCCCGAAGCTGGAAGGCTCCTTTGTCTCGGTGTGTTTGTGTCTGCAGACAGTTAGTGCAGAGACAAGGCTGCAGCTATCACAGTAACAGTGTCAAGAGCTTTCTCCTGGTGTCAGCACTGTGACCACACGCCGTGGTTCAGTTTTACACTCTTTTTGGAAACTGCGATAAAAGAAATCCATGTTTTGCCCTTCGGAGTGGCAGCCGCACCTTCCAAAATGTCACTTCCTTGGTGACAAGCTTGTTGTACTGTCGGCTGCACATTGTCAAGTGTGTAAGAGTGAGGTAGATTGGAAATACAGTATAGCCCACATTTCTGGTGACTTCTCCGTAATAGAAAATAAATGACTTATGTTGAGCAAACCCATCCTTTGGGTAGTTGAGATCACAACCAATGTCTCATCTTTTTCATACCTCATTGCTGAGTAAAACTGCCCTGTCATTCGTTGCTGAAATGTAGATGCCTTGGGCATGCTAGATGAGGTAAAGGGGCCATGGCTTCTGTCCCACTGTCACCTCTGGCAGTGACACCCAGAACAAGTCCCTTTCTAGTGCCTTGATTCTTGCTCTAGAGCATAAGAGAGACAGGATGCAAAATCATTTTGCTTTTGTTAACTGCCACATAAATGTTTAAACAGTGATAAAATTAACCTCCTGCAGAGAGAACTTGCATTTTGCTGTCAGATAAGAAAATCCGCAAATATTATTGGTCCTGGTCCATGACCTAGAGGGATTTTCCAAGCAGACAATTCCAATTTCTACTTTGAATCCAGATTTGGAGCTACATTATTGTTAGGGTTGGTTTCATTTAATATTTTGGTTGAGGATCATCCCATACCTTGAAATAAAACTAGCTTTTTCTTTTCTTTTTTTTTTCCTAAAGATCTATTTATTTATTTGTACAGAACTGGGGTACAGGCCAGAGATGCGGAGGGTGAGAGGATTCACCAGAGACAGAGCGGGAAGCAGAACAGGCAGATCGACGAAGTACACTGCTGAGGGGAGCAGCAGGAGGGTCAGGAGAGGTCTGCCACGCCATGTGGTCGCCTCCGGGGCAGGCGGGAATTGAACTCATGCGGAAGTGGCTTTAGTTTCTTAGTGCAGTGCTTTAACCCGCTGCACCACCAGGCAGGGCATTTTTCTTTTCTTCTTTTTTTTTTTTTTTAGCATCGCAAGCTAGATAACTCAAGATTATTCATTAAGAAATATTTTATTTTTATTAGCCTTTAAAGTGTGTGAAGAGCTTTTATTTTGGGTGGCATACTCCAGCACTAGTTTAGCCTGGTCATTGAATATGCAGAAAGGATCTTGTTGCTAGAGGTTTTGCTCTGTCCCCTCAGTGGCTCGTGTGTTGCCCAGTGAACAGAATGAAGTGAACATTTGCAGGGGATATTGGAAGTCATTTGCAACTTGGTTTTAGTTGTGGTGCCAGGAGTTTTCTGCGCTTTATAGTCACTCCAGGTGCTTAAAGCAGGAACTGATGGCCGCTGAGGACAGCCTAGTACAGATGCTGCCCATACACACACAGGTCGGAGACTAGGTAGGGAATTGGGTGCCCAGTGAAACTCCAGGTAGGTGCCACAGACACATCTTGAGGCCCTGAGGCAAATTTTGAAAATAATAGCT